CATGTAAAGAAAGGATGGTCTCCTCAACAATCAGCAGAAAGGTAAACTGATGAAATGAGAAGAAGTATCTGCAAACTTTGTATCTGCATAATGGGCCAATATTCAGAATATATAGCAACTACTACAGCTCAACTTCAAAACAACAACAGGCAAATAACCGACTTAAAAAAAATAAAAGATGTGTAAAAGGCTTCAATAGATATTTCTTCATAGAAGACAGAGAAGTGACCAATATTCATAGGCATAGTGCTCAACATCACTAAGTATAAGTGAAATAGAAACCAAGTCAAAAGGAGATATCACCTTTCAGGCTGTGTATTATAAAAAGAAAATAATGTTAAGAGAACAATCATAAGATCCAGGAATCACTCTTTTGAGTTTATGTCCAAAGAAGATAAAATGAGAATATCCAGGAGATATATACAATCATGTATCCATTGCTGTATTGTACACAAAATCCAAGAAAACTGCCCAGTGTCCACGGGCAGATAAATCAAAAAGAAAATGTGGTGTATACATACACTGCAAGGTGTTTCAGCATTTTAAAATGAAGGACATCTTGTCATTTGCAGCACCGTGAATGAAGCTCGAGGATATTGGTAAGAGTGAAATAAGGAGGTCAAAGGAGGACAAATACTGCACAATTCCATTTACCTGATGTATCTGAAGGAAAATTCAGAGAAGCAGAGAGTAGAAGGGTGGTTCCAAGAACTGGGAGGAGGTTGACAGAGGGAGTGTCTGTTCAATGGTTATAAAATTTTTGTTGCAGGATGGAAAAGTTCTAGAGACAAGCTGAAAAACACAGGGCATTGAATTAACAGGCCTGACTGGACACTTCAAAGCTTAAGAGGCAAAGCTGGACTGAACTTCATCTATGCTTTTAGGTTCCTTTTTTCTCAGATTCCTCTAGACCTAGGTGTGGCATGTGGGTACCACCAGGGGCTCCCTGCAGAAGGAAAGAGCCTCCCCAGTACTGGGGGCCTTGATTGAGGGGGTGAGATTCATTCTGAGGCTGTAATAGGAAAGAGTTTGAATGAGGGAAACGGCGGAGTGATGAATCATGACCAAACAAAATGCTACAAGACCTATTAAGAAATGGGATTTATGATTAAATGAAGGGGTGACGGACCCAGGAGGGAGATACTGAAACATGGTCTTGTTTTCTAAGAATCATACAGGGCTTCACTGGTGCATCAATGGGTAGGAATCCACATGCCAATGCAGGAGATACGAGCTCAATCCCTGGTCTGGAAAGAGTCCACATGCCTCGCAGAACCTAAACCTGCTGGTGCACCACAAGGACTGAACCGTGTTCTAGAGTCCAGGAGGCACACGCACAGAGCCCAGCTTCTGAAACTACTGAAGCCCAAGAGCCCTAGAAGCCACACTCTACAACAAAAGAAGCACTAAAGTGATACGCCTGCACACCACAACGCGAGAGATGCCCTCACTCTCCACAAGCAGAGGAAACCCTGCGCAGCAATGACGACCCAGCAGAGCCAAGAAGAAAATTAAGAAAAGTTAAAAAGACTCCAGGGTGAACATTTTCCTGGGTAGGGACGGGATGTGTCTTTCAGGGTAATGGATGTTCACTTGGTATAAATTCAATGGATACAGTGAATGTGTATACTTGGCTTAATTTTATATATATATACACACACACACACACACACACACACACACACATATATATACTCATTAATGGCTCATGGTGATGGGAAATTTTCGGGGGAAGTTGACACCAGTAACAGTGACATTTAGGGTGACAAATATTGAGGAAAACACAAGACAAAAACATTCACAGACACATGAAGAATCACACTGTTCATTACACACAGATATACACCCAATCCCATGGACAAAACCCCACACTATTAACCATAACACAGCTTCTTCCTGGGACTACAGTAATCAGCCACATTGCTCTACTTATAAATTACTTTCTATCATGAGGGCCCCTATACTCATTGCCCCCATGAATTTTGAATCAGTTTGGCCTCTACACTAAAACCAGAGAGAAAGCCCCAACTTTCTCATCTACAAATTTTTCTCCTAAAATGAATGATTCTAGAATACATACGACTTTCACATTCTGAAAGAGCTACCTGCAAGTACAGAAGAGAAGACACTATGAGGATAAGATCACATAGATGCACAGTCTTTGGTTCATTTGGTGACAGTTCCTGATGAGGAACAGTGGTGAAGTCCACGGAACCCATCACTATCAGAACACACATACTCAGGATGAAAGGCAAGACCTTTGCCTGGAGGATGGAACTTCCAAGTTCATTTGGATTGGAAATTGCAGAATTCTTTTCTTAGAGGAAATCTTGCTGCAGGAGAGAGAACTCTGTACTCTACAGGGTGTAATGGATGCTAACAATTTTAATATCCTGTGGACTGAGGCATCATGATTTGGTAATAAGTATATCACTTCACATTATCCCAACCAAGGAAATCGCCTCTGTCTGAAAGGAACACCTTCAAAGATGCACAACTTAATTGTACTTAAAAAGAAAGGAAACAATATTTCTATTTCAGACCAGAAAAAAGGAAAAAAGTCTTTCCTTGGAGGCACATGGAGTCTCCTCTGTCTTGTCACAAGCTGGGTTGACTGGCAGGTCCTCAGTGAAACCTAGAGGGACACAGAGTAGCTGTTAGAACAGCGGTGAGGCTGCTCAGGAATCATGCAGGGGGTTTTCTCTTTGTGTGGACATGGGGTGGTGTGTATGGATGTGGGAGGTTAATAAGCATGGACTGAACTTGTGTTCATCCATCCTCTTTGGAGGAGGAAGGAAAGTAAAGGAGAGGTGGAAGGAAATGAATGCAGATCGTTGGCCTTCTAGCTAGAGGAGCCTAATCAACAGGAAATATTCAACCTAAAACATGGAAAACTCTAAAATGTAAGTACTGTTCAGTGAGAGAGACCATGACTGCTCCTCCTCATTGTGAGCTTCGGGTAAATTGCCACTGTCTCTTGATTTTTCCCAGATCACTCTTCCTCTGAGAGCCACAGTTGCTGCTACTCTGTTCATCATGACTTCTATAAGGTTTTGTAATTGATTTAAAGTAAACTCGGTTACAGGACTGAATTCAATCCTGGCAAAGTATACTATGCTATTAATTCACTAATTAATTGTCTTAAAGAAAAGCAAATACACAAGATTTTATATTTCTGAATTCCTAGCACTTAAAAATAGCCATTATGAATAATACAGAATTTATCTATCAATATTCATTTTCTATAAAGTGTGTGAATTTCCACTGATCCAGTAGTTGTCCATATGCACAGGGGCCATCGGTTGAGTGGGACAGTAGATTATAGAAAGCACAGTTCCTCCACAACGTATTCCTCGGGAGCTACAGGGACAGAGTAGCTGTTAGGACACTGGTGAGGCTATTCAACAATCACTCAGCTTTTACTCTTTTTTGAGATGGACAAGGGGTGTACAGTATGCATGAGGGAGCTAACTAAATATGTAATAAGCTGCTGATGAATCATCCTTTTTGCTAGATGAAGGAGTAAAAATGAGAGGAGCATGAAAGAAATGAAAGAGAACATCGGCATTTTTGGAAAACAAGAAACACTAAAATGCATGCCATCTTTCGATGACAGAGACTCAGGAACCTCCTGTGTGTTTATATCTTCTGCAAAACAACACCTATCCAGAAGGACATCTTCCTACATCACTGCCTCCCCAGGATTCAGTTACAGCTATTGCACTTACTGAGTTTTCTGAGGGACTTTGTTCTTGATGAAAAGCAGTCTCTACTACAGGACAGAATTCAATTCTAACTTGCCAAATAGCTATTAAGCTAGAACGACTCAGGTAACGTTTCTTGCCAGTCTTAATTGTCCAAACAACATTTGCGTGTCCCTGAATGAGTGTCTGCTGACACTCAGAGAAGCCATACATTGAGTGGGACAGTTCACTATGGAGAGAAAGCCTGGGGCAAACGTTGACTTTCTTGGACTCAGGTATGCACGAGGTTTACTAGAGGCAAGACACCAAGCAGACTGTCAAGTTCCACCATGAGATCTATTTGACACCTGCCCTTGAGAGTGTGCTGCAGGGTTGAACTGACTAAGGCTTATGGTGTTGTCACCCAGTACAATTAAATATCTCCCTGATGGTAATCTGCTTTTGTCCTTGGTTAAGCAATGAAACTAGCACGAACACACTTGGCCTGTCCTGTCTAAACCAGGGCATACAACTCCCAGTTCTGTGAACTGACTAGGAGGATGTCAGTCCCTAGGGGCCTTTGACGATAATTACTGGGCCAAAGTTGGTAATAATCTGCTTATATTTGCCCTGGGTTCCTTGACCACTGAGACCGTCTTGCAATGATGTACACGGTCTGGATCTCTGGAGCTCTAGTACCTCCAGGCAAAAGCACAGATGCAGCCAGCCCTTGCCCCATGACTAGGCTTTCAACGCTGAGTGATAAGTGAAGGTCAGGGGTCCAGAGCAGTCACACTGGGAACACGCCTAGGTTCTCAGTTTGGCTTTTCAACATAGAATTGTCAACAGCTTGGGCCATTGTCCTCAGCACCTTCTTCACTTGAGGAAAATGAATATTAACCAAACATGAGGAATGGCTGAGCTGAGGAAAGAATCAAGTAATGTATAGTCAGTGGGCAGTGGCGATAAGAAGTGTTTAGAAAGTTCACAGGTGACTTGTGCTGTGTAGGAGGAAAACATCTCCTGAGGAAACACACACAGACACAGAACATCAGAATCACACCACTGGGCCCACACATGGGCCCCCAAGCCCGATTCACACATACACACAGCATCTAAATGATTTAGTTGCTTCCAGGTACCATAGAATAAAGACATTATTCTATCCCAGGAGATCAGTCTCTTCCATGCACCTCCAGCCCGCACCCCAAGTAGGGATCCAGCATCAGGGCCACTCTCCAACCAGAGCCATTCAGAAAACCCCAGCTTTATCAGATGGATTGTACCTCAGCAGAGTGTTGATCCCTGAATATTTACCGTGTTCACTTGCGTCCCAGAATTCCTGTGATTGGAGAGAAGGAAACAGAGTGAGGTGTCAGCATCTTCAACCTCCTGCACTAAGGATTCTGTCATGTGGTTTGTCTCCTCAGATAACTAAAACTCTTTATTCCAGTGACTCCAAAGTACAACAGAGAGTGTCCTGGCGGAAAGTCTGTTTCACAAAAGATCTCTCAATTTCAATGTGTCCAACTATAACATACTGCTTTTCAAGAAAGAGAACTTTCAAAAAAAAAAAAAAAGAAAACATTAAAAACAAGAAAGAGAACTTTATGCTGAGCAAAGTACCTACAGTAGTAAATGATGCTGTCTTTTTTTAATGTCCTTGTGAATTAGGTCTGTGTTGATAATAGAATTATCCTCACTCTTTTCCCAGCCAAGGAATTACATGCCTCAGTGGGAATGCAAATTGTCACATGACTATAACTGTATTTGTCTGAATAACAAATAAAGTGAAGCAACAATCTTATCACAGATAAAGAAAGGTGCAGTTACATTCACAGTACTCAGTGCCTTTACCTCAGTCAAGTCGTGGCATGTTGCCTCTTCCAGATCCGCCTGGGGAGCTAGAGGGACAAGGAAGAGACATTGGTGAACAGGAGAAGCTGGTCACTAACCACTCAGGAATCTTTCTTGGGGGGCGGGGGCATGGTGGACTGTATGCTTAAGGCATTAGTAACTTGGGACTGAGTGGCTGTTGAATCATCCTCTTTGTTGCATAAATAAGAGCAAATTGGAGGAGCAGGAAATAGTGAAAGAGAACATCTGCATTTTAACTAGTGATTACCTCACAGATCGGAAAATAAGAAACACTAAAATGCATGCCACCTTTCAATGACAGAGAGTCAGGAACCTTCTGCGTGTTTATATCTTCTGCAAAACAACACCTATCCAGAAGGATTTCTTCCTAGATCACTGCCTCCCCAGGATTCAGTTACAGCTATTGCACTTACTGAGTTTTCTGAGAGCCTTTGTTCTTGATGAAAAGGAGTCTCCTCTAGAGGACTGAATTCAATTCTAACTTGCCAAATAGCTATTAAGCTAGAACCACTCAGGTAATGTTTCTTGCCATTCTTAATTGTCCAACCAACATTAGCGCGTCCCTGAATGAGTGTCTGCTGACACTCAGAGAAGCCATACATTGAGTGGGACAGTTCACTATGGAGAGAAAGCCTGGGGCAAACGCTGACTTCCTTGGACTCAGGTATGCACGAAGTTTACTAGAGTCGAGTCACCAAGCAGACTGTCAAGTTCCACCAGGAGATCTACTTGACACCTTCCCTTGAGAGTGTGCTGCAGGGCTGAACCGACCTAAGGCTTATGGTGTTGTCACCCAGTACAATGAAATATCTCCCTGATGGTAATCTGCTTTTGTCCTTGGTTAAGCAATGACACTAGCACGAACAGATTTGGCCTGTCCTGTCTAAACCAGGGCATACAACTCCCAGTTCTGTGAACTGACTAGGAGGATGTCAGTCCCTAGGTGCCTTTGACAGTAATGACTGTGCTAAAGTTCGTGATAATCTGCTTATATTTGCCCTGGGTTCGTTGACCACTGAGACCACCTTGCAATGATGCACACGGTCTGGATCTCTGGAGCTCTAGTACCTCCAGGCAAAAGCACAGATGCAGCCAGCCCTTACCCCATGACTAGGCTTTCAACGCTGAGTGATAAGTGAAAGTCAGGGGTCCAGAGCAGTCACAGTGGGAACACACCTAGGTTCTCAGTTTGCCTTTTCAACATAGAATTGTCAACAGCTTGGGCCATTGTCCTCAGCACCTTCTTCACTTGAGGAAAATGAATATTAACCAAACGTGAGGAATGGCTGAGCTGAGGAAAGAATCAAGTAATGTATAGTCAGTGGGAAGTGGTGATAAGAAGTGTTTAGAAAGTTCACAGGTGACTTGTGCTGTGTAGGAGGAAAACATCTCCTGAGGAAACACACACAGACACAGAGCATCAGAATCACACCACTGGGCCCACACATGGGCCCCCATGCCCGATTCACACAAACCCACAGCATCTAAATGATGTAGTTGCTTCCAGGTACCATAGAATAAAGACATTATTCTATCCTGGGAGATCAGTCTCTTCCATGCACCTCCAGCCCGCACCCCAAGTAGGGATACAGCATCAGGGCCACTCTCCAACCAGAGCCAGTCAGAAAACCCCAGGTTTATCAGATGGATTGTACCTCAGCAGAGTGTTGATCCCTGAATATTTACCGTGTTCACTTGCGTCCCAGAATTCCTGTGATTGGAGAGAAGGAAACAGAGTGAAGTGTCAGCATCTTCAACCTCCTGCACTAAGTATTCTGTCATGTGGTTTGTCTCCTCAGATAACTAAAACTCTTTTTTCCAGTGACTCCAAAGTACAACAGAGAGTGTCCTGGCGGAAAGTCTGTTTCACAAAAGATCTCTCCATTTCAATGTGTACAACTATAACACCCTGCTTTTCAAGAAAGAGAACTTTCAAAAAAAAAAAAAAAAGAAAACATTAAAAACAAGAAAGAGAACTTTATGCTGAACAAAGTACCTACAGTAGTAAACGATGCTGTCTTTTTTTAATGTCCTTGTGAAATAGGTCTGTGTTGATAATAGATTTATCCTCACTCTTTTCCCAGCCAAGGAATTACATGCCTCAGTGGGAATGCAAATTATCAGATGACTATAACTGTATTTGTCTGAATAACAAATAAAGTGAAGCAACAATCTTATCACAGATAAAGAAAGGTGCAGTTACATTCACAGTACTCAGAGTCTTTACCGCAGTCAAGTCGTGGCATGTTGCCTCTTCCAAAACCTCCTGGGGAGCTAGAGGGACAAGGAAGAGACATTGGTGAACAGGAGAAGCTGGTCACTAACCACTCAGGAAGCTTTCTTGGGGGGCGGGGGCATGGGGTGGACTGTATGCTTAAGGCATTAGTAACTTGGGATTGAGTGGCTGCTGAATCATCCTCTCTGTTGCATAAATAAGAGCAAATTGGAGGTGCAGGAAATAATGTAAGAGAACCTCTCCATTTTAACTAGTGATAACCTCAGAGATCAGAAAATAAGAAACACTAAAATGCATGCCACCTTTCAATGACAGAGACTCATGAACCTCCTGCATGTTTACATCTTCTGCAAAACAACACCTATCCAGAAGGATTTCTTCCTAGATCACTGCCTCCCCAGGATTCAGTTACAGCCATTGCACTTACTGAGTTTTCAGAGAGATTTTGTTCTTGATGAAAAGCAGTCTCTGCTAGAGGACTGAATTCAATTCTAACTTGCCAAAGAGATATTAGGCTAGAATCACTCAGGTAATGTTTCCTGCCAGTCTTAATTGTCCAACCAACATTTGCGCGTCCCTGAATGAGTGTCTGCTGACACTCAGAGAAGCCATACATTGAGTGGGACAGTTCACGATGGAGAGGAAGCACGGGGTAAACGCTGACTTTTTTGGACTCAGGTATGCACGAGGTTTACCAGAGTCGAGTCACTAAGCAGACTGTCAAGTTCCACCATGAGATCTATTTGACACCTGCCCTTGAGAGTGTGCTGTAGGCTTGAACCGAACTAAGGCTTATGGTGTTGTCACCCAGTACAATGAAATATCTCCCTGATGGTAATCTGCTTTTGTCCTTGGTTAAGCAATGACACTAGCACGAACAGATTTGGCCTGTCCTGTCTAAACCAGGGCATACAACTCCCAGTTCTGTGAACCGACCAGGAGGGTGTCAGTCCCTAGGTGCCTTTGACGATAATGACTGTGCCAAAGTTGGTGATAATCTGCTTATGTTTGCCCTGGGTTCCTTGACCACTGAGACCGTCTTGCAATGATGTACATGGTCTGGATCTCTGGAGCTCTAGTACCTCCAGGCAAAAGCACAGATGCAGCCAGCCCTTGCCCCATGACCAGGGTTTCAACGCTGAGTGATAAGTGAAGGTCAGGGGTCCAGAGCAGTCACACTGGGAACACCCCTAGGTTCTCAGTTTGGCTTTTCAACATAGAATTGTCAACAGCTTGGGCCATTGTCCTCAGCACCTTCTTCCCTTGAGGAAAATGAATATTAACCAAACATGAGGAATGGCTGAGCTGAGGAATGAATCAAGTAATGTATAGTCAGTGTGCAGTGGTCATAAGAAGTGTTCAGAAAGTTCACAGGTGACTTGTGCTGTGTAAGAGGGAAACATCTCCTGAGGAAACACACACAGACACAGAGCATCAGAATCACACCACTGGGCCCACACATGGGCCCCCAAGCCCGATTCACACAAACCCACAGCATCTAAATGATGCAGCTGCTTCCAGGTACCATAGAATAAAGACTTTATTCTATCCTGGGAGATCAGTCTCTTCCATGCACCTCCAGCCCGCACCCCAAGTAGGGATCCAGCATCAGGGCCACTCTCAACCAGAGCCAGTCAGAAAACCCCAGCTTTATCAGATGGATTGTACCTCAGCAGAGTGTTGATCCCTGAATATTTACCGTGTTCACTCGCGTCCCCGAATTCCTGTGACTGGAGAGAAGGAAACAGAGTGAGGTGTCAGCATCTTCAATCTCTTGCACTAAGTATTCTGTCATGTGGTTTGTCTCCTCAGATAACTAAAACTCTTTATTCCAGTGACTCCAAAGTACAACAGAGAGTGTCCTGGCGGAAAGTCTGTTTCACAAAAGATCTCTCAATTTCAATGTGTCCAACAATAACACATTGCTTTTCAAGAAATTGAACTTTGAAAGAAAAACAGAAAACATTAAAAACAAGAAAGAGAACTTTATGCTGACCAAAGTACCTACAGTAGTAAATGATGCTTTTTTTAATGTCCTTGTGAAATAGGTCTGTGTTGATAATAGATTTATCCTCACTCTTTTCCCAGCCAAGGAATTACATGCCTCAGTGGGAATGCAAATTATCAGATGACTATAACTGTATTTGTCTGAATAACAAATAAAGTGAAGCAACAATCTTATCACAGATAAAGAAAGGTGCAGTTACATTCACAGTACTCAGAGCCTTTACCTCAGTCAAGTCGTGGAATGTTGCCTCTTCCAGATTCTCCCAGGGAGCTAGAGGGACAAGGAGGAGACATTGGCGCACAGGAGAAGCTGCTCATCAATCACTCAGGAAACTTTCTTGGGGGGCGGGGGCATGGGCTGGACTGTATGGTAAAGGAATTAGTAACTGGGGACTGAGAGCCTGTTGAATCATCCTCTTTGTTGCATAAATAAGAGCACATCGGTGGAGCAGGAGATAGTGAAAGAGAACTTCTGCATTTTAACTAGTTATAACCTAACAGATCGGAAAAAAATTAAAAGGAAAATGCATGCCACCTTTCAATGACAGAGACTCAGGAACCTCCTGCGTGTTTACATCTTCTGCAAAACAACACCTATCCAGAAGGATTTCTTCCTAGATCACTGCCTCCCCAGGATTCAGTTACAGCTATTGCACTTACTGAGTTTCCTGAGAGACTTTGTTCTTGATGAAAAGCAGTCTCTGCTAGAGGAGAGAATTCAATTCTAACTTGCCAAATAGCTATTAAGCTAGGACCACTCAGGTAACGTTTCTTGCCAGTCTTAATTGTCCAACCAATATTTGCGCGTCCCTGAATGAGTGTCTGCTGACACTCAGAGAAGCCATACATTGAGTGGGACAGTTCACTATGGAGAAGAAGCATGGGGTAAACGTTGAATTTCCTGGACTCAGGTATGTACGAGGTTTACTAGAGTCGAGTCAACAAGCAGACTGTCAAGTTCAACCATGAGATCTATTTGACACCTTCCCTTGAGAGTGTGCTGCAGGGTTGAACCGACCTAAGGCTTATGGTGTTGTAACCCAGTATAATGAAATACCTCCCTGATGGTAATCTGCTTTTGTCCTTGGTTAAGCAGTGACACTAGCACGAACAGATTAGGCCTGTCCTGTCTAAACCAGGGCATACAACTCCCAGTTCTGTGAACTGACCAGGAGGTTGTCAGTCCCTAGGTGCTTTGACAATAATGACTGTGCCAAAGTTGGTGATAATCTCCTTATGTTTGCCCTGGGTCCCTTGACCACTGAGACCATCTTGCAATGATGTACACGGTCTGGATCTCTGGAGCTCTAGAACCTCCAGGCAAAAGCACAGATGCAGGGAGCCCTTGCCCCATGTCTAGGATTTCAACGCTGAGTGATAAGTGAAGGTCAGGGGTCCAGAGCAGTCACACTAGGAACACGCCTAGGTTCTCAGTTTGGCTTTTCAACATAGAATTGTCAACAGCTTGGGCCATTGTCCTCAGCACCTTCTTCACTTGAGGAAAATGAATATTAACCAAACATGAGGAATGGCTGAGTTGAGGAAAGAATCAAGTAATGTATAGTCAGTGGGCAGTGGTGATAAGAAGTGTTTAGAAAGTTCACAGGTGACTTGTGCTTTGTAGGAGGAAAACATCTCCTGAGGAAACACACACAGACACAGAGCATCAGAATCACACCACTCGGCCCACACATGGGCCCCCAAGCCCGATTCACACAAACCCACAGCATCTAAATGATGTAGTTGCTTCCAGGTACCATAGAATAAAGACATTATTCTATCCCGGGAGATCAGTCTCTTCCATGCACCTCCAGCCCGCACCCCAAGTAGGGATCCAGCATCAGGGCCACTCTCCAACCAGAGCCAGTCAGAAAACCCCAGCTTTATCAGATGGATTGTACCTCAGCAGAATGTTGATCCCTGAATATTTACCGTGTTCACTTGCATCCCAGAATTCCTGTGATTGGAGAGAAGGAAACAGAGTGAGGTGTCAGCACCTTCAACCTCCTGCACTAAGTATTCTGTCATGTGGTTTGTCTCCTCAGATAACTAAAACTCTTTATTCCACTGACTCCAAAGTACAACAGAGAGTGTCCTGGCGGAAAGTCTGTTTCACAAAAGATCTCTCAATTTCAATGTGTCCAACAATAACACATTGCTTTTCAAGAAAGAGAATTTTGAAAGAAAAACAGAAAACATTTAAAAAAAGAAAGAGAACTTTATGCTGACCAAAGTACCTACAGTAGTAAATGATGCTGTCTTTTTTTAATGTCCTTGTGAAATAGGTCTGTGTTGATAATAGATTTATCAGCACTCTTTTCCCAGCCAAGGAATTACAGGCCTCAGAGGGAATGTAAATTGTCAGATGACTATAACTGTATTTGTCTGAATAACAAATAAAGTGAAGCAACAATCTTATCACAGATAAAGAAAGGTGCAGGTACACTCACAGAACTCAGAGCCTTTACCTCGGTCAAGTCGTGGCATATTTCCTCTTCCAGATCCGCCTGGGGAGCTAGAGGGACAAGGAAGAGACATTGGTGAACAGGAGAAGCTGGTCACTAACCACTCAGGAATCTTTCTTGGGGGGCGGGGGCATGGGGTGGACTGTATGCTTAAGGCATTAGTAACTTGGGACTGAGTGGCTGTTGAATCATCCTCTTTGTTGCATAAATAAGAGCAAATTGGAGGAGCAGGAAATAGTGAAAGAGAACCTCTGCATTTTAACTAGTGATTACCTCACAGATCGGAAAATAAGAAACACTAAAATGCATGCAACCTTTCAATGAAAGAGACTCATGAACCTCCTGCATGTTTACGTATTCTGCAAAACAACAATTATCCAGAGGATTTCTTCCTAGATCACTGCCTCCCCAGGATTCAGTTACAGCCATTGCACTTACTGAGTTTTCGGAGAGATTTTGTTCTTGATGAAAAGCAGTCTCTGCTAGAGGACTGAATTCAATTCTAACTTGCCAGAGAGCTATTAGGCTAGAATCAATCAGGTAATGTTTCTTGCCAGTCTTAATTGTCCAACCAACATTTGCGCGTCCCTGAATGAGTCTCTCCTGACACTCAGAGAAGCCATACATTGAGTGGGACAGTTCACGATGGAGAGAAAGCCTGGGGCAAACGTTGACTTTCTTGGACTCAGGTATGCACGAGGTTTACTAGAGTTAAGTCACCAAACAGACTGTCAAGCTCCACCATGAGATCTATTTGACACCTGCCCTTGAGAGTGTGCTGTAGGCTTGAACTGACCTAAGGCTTATGGTGTTGTCACCCAGTACAATGAAATATCTCCCTGATGGTAATCTGCTTTTCTCCTTGGTTAAGCAATGACACTAGCAGGAACAGATTTGGCCTGTCCTGTCTAAACCAGGGCATACAACTCCCAGTTCTGTGAACTGACCAGGAGGATGTCAGTCCCTAGGTGCCTTTGACGATAATGACTGTGCCAAAGTTGGTGATAATCTGCTTATGTTTGCCCTGGGTTCCTTGACCACTGAGACCGTCTTGCGATGATGTACACGGTCTGGATCTCTGGAGCTCTAGTACCTCCAGGCAAAAGCACAGATGCAGCCAGACCTTGCCCCATGACCAGGATTTCAACGCTGAGTGATAAGTGAAGGTCAGGGGTCCAGAGCAGTCACACTGGGAACACCCCTAGGTTCTCAGTTTGGCTTTTCAACATAGAATTGTCAACAGCTTGGGCCATTGTCCTCAGCACCTTCTTCAATTGAGGAAAATGAATATTAACCAAACATGAGGAATGGCTGAGCTGAGGAATGAATCAAGTAAGATATAGTCAGTGTGCAGTGGTGATAAGAAGTGTTTAGAAAGTTCACAGGTGACTTGTGCTGTGTAAGAGGGAAACATCTCCTGAGGAAACACACACAGACACAGAGCATCAGAATCACACCACTCGGCCCACACATGGGCCCCCAAGCCCGATTCACACAAACCCACAGCATCTAAATGATGTAGCTGCTTCCAGGTACCATAGAATAAAGATATTATTCTATCCTGGGAGATCAGTCTCTTCCATGCACCTCCAGCCCGCACCCCAAGTAGGGATCCAGCATCAGGGCCACTCTCCAACCAGAGGCAGTCAGAAAACCCCAGCTTTATCCGATGGATTGTACCTCAGCAGAGTGTTGATCCCTGAATATTTACCGTGTTCACTTGCATCCCAGAATTCCTGTGATTGGAGAGAAGGAAACAGAGTGAGGTGTCAGCACCTTCAACCTCCTGCACTAAGTATTCTGTCATGTGGTTTGTCTCCTCAGATAACTAAAACTCTTTATTCCACTGACTCCAAAGTACAACAGAGAGTGTCCTGGCGGAAAGTCTGTTTCACAAAAGATCTCTCAATTTCAATGTGTCCAACAATAACACATTGCTTTTCAAGAAAGAGAATTTTGAAAGAAAAACAGAAAACATTCAAAAAAAGAAAGAGAACTTTATGCTGACCAAAGTACCTACAGTAGTAAATGATGCTGTCTTTTTTTAATGTCCTTGTGAAATAGGTCTGTGTTGATAATAGATTTATCAGCACTCTTTTCCCAGCCAAGGAATTACAGGCCTCAGAGGGAATGTAAATTGTCAGATGACTATAACTGTATTTGTCTGAATAACAAATAAAGTGAAGCAACAATCTTATCACAGATAAAGAAAGGTGCAGGTACACTCACAGAACTCAGAGCCTTTACCTCGGTCAAGTCGTGGCATATTTCCTCTTCCAGATCCGCCTGGGGAGCTAGAGGGACAAGGAAGAGACATTGGTGAACAGGAGAAGCTGGTCACTAACCACTCAGGAATCTTTCTTGGGGGGCGGGGGCATGGGGTGGACTGTATGCTTAAGGCATTAGTAACTTGGGACTGAGTGGCTGTTGAATCATCCTCTTTGTTGCATAAATAAGAGCAAATTGGAGGAGCAGGAAATAGTGAAAGAGAACCTCTGCATTTTAACTAGTGATTACCTCACAGATCGGAAAATAAGAAACACTAAAATGCATGCAACCTTTCAATGAAAGAGACTCATGAACCTCCTGCATGTTTACGTATTCTGCAAAACAACAATTATCCAGAGGATTTCTTCCTAGATCACTGCCTCCCCAGGATTCAGTTACAGCCATTGCACTTACTGAGTTTTCGGAGAGATTTTGTTCTTGATGAAAAGCAGTCTCTGCTAGAGGACTGAATTCAATTCTAACTTGCCAGAGAGCTATTAGGCTAGAATCAATCAGGTAATGTTTCTTGCCAGTCTTAATTGTCCAACCAACATTTGCGCGTCCCTGAATGAGTCTCTCCTGACACTCAGAGAAGCCATACATTGAGTGGGACAGTTCACGATGGAGAGAAAGCCTGGGGCAAACGTTGACTTTCTTGGACTCAGGTATGCACGAGGTTTACTAGAGTTAAGTCACCAAACAGACTGTCAAGCTCCACCATGAGATCTATTTGACACCTGCCCTTGAGAGTGTGCTGTAGGCTTGAACTGACCTAAGGCTTATGGTGTTGTCACCCAGTACAATGAAATATCTCCCTGATGGTAATCTGCTTTTCTCCTTGGTTAAGCAATGACACTAGCAGGAACAGATTTGGCCTGTCCTGTCTAAACCAGGGCATACAACTCCCAGTTCTGTGAACTGACCAGGAGGATGTCAGTCCCTAGGTGCCTTTGACGATAATGACTGTGCCAAAGTTGGTGATAATCTGCTTATGTTTGCCCTGGGTTCCTTGACCACTGAGACCGTCTTGCGATGATGTACACGGTCTGGATCTCTGGAGCTCTAGTACCTCCAGGCAAAAGCACAGATGCAGCCAGACCTTGCCCCATGACCAGGATTTCAACGCTGAGTGATAAGTGAAGGTCAGGGGTCCAGAGCAGTCACACTGGGAACACCCCTAGGTTCTCAGTTTGGCTTTTCAACATAGAATTGTCAACAGCTTGGGCCATTGTCCTCAGCACCTTCTTCAATTGAGGAAAATGAATATTAACCAAACATGAGGAATGGCTGAGCTGAGGAATGAATCAAGTAAGATATAGTCAGTGTACAGTGGTGATAAGAAGTGTTTAGAAAGTTCACAGGTGACTTGTGCTGTGTAAGAGGGAAACATCTCCTGAGGAAACACACACAGACACAGAGCATCAGAATCACACCACTCGGCCCACACATGGGCCCCCAAGCCCGATTCACACAAACCCACAGCATCTAAATGATGCAGCTGCTTCCAGGTACCATAGAATAAAGACATTATTCTATCCTGGGAGATCAGTCTCTTCCATGCACCTCCAGCCCGCACCCCAAGTAGGGATCCAGCATCAGGGCCACTCTCAACCAGAGCCAGTCAGAAAACCCCAGCTTTATCCGATGGATTGTACCTCAGCAGAGTGTTGATCCCTGAATATTTACCGTGTTCACTCGCGTCCCCGAATTCCTGTGACTGGAGAGAAGGAAACAGAGTGAGGTGTCAGCATCTTCAACCTCCTGCACTAAGTATTCTGTCATGTGGTTTGTGTCCTCAGATAACTAAAACTCTTTATTCCAGTGACTCCAAAGTACAACAGAGAGTGTCCTGGCGGAAAGTCTGTTTCACAAAAGATCTCTCCATTTCAATGTGTCCAACAATAACACATTGCTTTTCAAGAAAGAGAACTTTGAAAGAAAAACAGAAAACATTTAAAAAAAGAAAGAGAACTTTATGCTGAGCAAAGTACCTACAGTAGTAAATGATGCTGTCTTTTTTTAATGTCCTTGTGAAATAGGTCTGTGTTGATAATAGATTTATCCGCACTCTTTTCCCAGCCAAGGAATTACAGGCCTCAGTGGGAATGTAAATTGTCAGCTGACTATCACTGTATTTGTCTGAATAACAAATAAAGTGAAGCAACAATCTTATCACAGATAAAGAAAGGTGCAGGTACACTTACAGTACTCAGAGCCTTTACCTCGGTCAAGTCGTGGCATGTTTCCTCTTCCAGATCCGCCTGGGGAGCTAGAGGGACAAGGAAGAGACATTGGTGAACAGGAGAAGCTGGTCACTAACCACTCAGGAAGCTTTCTTGGGGGGCGGGGGCATGGGGTGGACTGTATGCTTAAGGCGTTAGTAACTTGGGACTGAGTGGCTGTTGAATCATCCCCTTTGTTGCATAAATAAGAGCAAATTGGAGGAGCAGGAAATAGTGAAAGAGAACCTCTGCATTTTAACTAGTGATTACCTCACAGATCGGAAAATAGGAAACACTAAAATGCATGCCACCTTTCAATGACAGAGACTCATGAACCTCCTGCATGCTTACGTCTTCTGCAAAACAACACCTATCCAGAAGGATTTCTTCCTAGATCACTGCCTCCCCAGGATTCAGTTACAGCCATTGCACTTACTGAGTTTTCGGAGAGATTTTGTTCTTGATGAAAAGCAGTCTCTGCTAGAGGACTGAATTCAATTCTAACTTGCCAGAGAGCTATTAGGCTAGAATCACTCAGGTAATGTTTCTTGCCAGTCTTACTTGTCCAACCAACATTTGCGCGTCCCTGAATGAGTGTCTGCTGACACTCAGAGAAGCCATACATTGAGTGGGACAGTTCACGATGGAGAGAAAGCCTGGGGCAAACGTTGACTTTCTTGGACTCAGGTATGCACGAGGTTTACTAGAGTTAAGTCACCAAACAGACTGTCAAGCTCCACCATGAGATCTATTTGACACCTGCCCTTGAGAGTGTGCTGTAGGCTTGAACTGACCTAAGGCTTATGGTGTTGTCACCCAGTACAATGAAATATCTCCCTGATGGTAATCTGCTTTTCTCCTTGGTTAAGCAATGACACTAGCAGGAACAGATTTGGCCTGTCCTGTCTAAACCAGGGCATACAACTCCCAGTTCTGTGAACTGACCAGGAGGATGACAGTCCCTAGGTGCCTTTGACGATAATGACTGTGCCAAGGTTGGTGATAATCTGCTTATGTTTGCCCTGGGTTCCTTGACCACTGAGACCGTCTTGCGATGATGTACACCGTCTGGATCTCTGGAGCTCTAGTACCTCCAGGCAAAAGCACAGATGCAGCCAGCCCTTGCCCCATGACCAGGATTTCAACGCTGAGTGATAAGTGAAGGTCAGGGGTCCAGAGCAGTCACACTGGGAACACGCCTAGGTTCTCAGTTTGGCTTTTCAACATAGAATTGTCAACAGCTTGGGCCATTGTCCTCAGCACCTTCTTCAATTGAGGAAAATGAATATTAACCAAACATGAGGAATGGCTGAGCTGAGGAAAGAATCAAGTAATGTATAGTCAGTGTGCAGTGGTGATAAGAAGTGTTTAGAAAGTTCACAGGTGACTTGTGCTGTGTAAGAGGGAAACATCTCCTGAGGAAACACACACAGACACAGAGCATCAGAATCACACCACTCGGCCCACACATGGGCCCCCAAGCCCGATTCACACAAACCAACAGCATCTAAATGATGCAGCTGCTTCCAGGTACCATAGAATAAAGATATTATTCTATCCTGGGAGATCAGTCTCTTCCATGCACCTCCAGCCCGCACCCCAAGTGGGGATCCAGCATCAGGGCCACTCTCCAACCAGAGCCAGTCAGAAAACCCCAGCTTTATCCGATGGATTGTACCTCAGCAGAGTGTTGATCCCTGAATATTTACCGTGTTCACTCGCGTCCCCGAATTCCTGTGACTGGAGAGAAGGAAACAGAGTGAGGTGTCAGCATCTTCAACCTCCTGCACTAAGTATTCTGTCATGTGGTTTGTCTCCTCAGATAACTAAAACTCTTTTTTCCAGTGACTCCAAAGTAAAACAGAGAGTGTACTGGCGGAAAGTCTGTTTCACAAAAGATCTCTCAATTTCAATGTGTCCAACAATAACAAATTGCTTTTCAAGAAATTGAACTTTGAAAGAAAAACAGAAAACATTAAAAACAAGAAAGAGAACTTTATGCTGACCAAAGTACCTACAGTAGCAAATGATGCCTTTTTTAATGTCCTTGTGAAATAGGTCTGTGTTGATAATAGATTTATCCGCACTCTTTTCCCAGCCAAGGAATTACAGGCCTCAGTGGGAATGTAAATTGTCAGATGACTATAACTTTATTTGTCTGAATAATTAATAAAGTGAAGCAACAATCTTATCACAGATAAAGAAAGGTGCAGGTACACTTACAGTACTCAGAGCCTTTACCTCGGTCAAGTCGTGGCATATTTCCTCTTCCAGATCCGCCTGGGGAGCTAGAGGGACAAGGAAGAGACATTGGTGAACAGGAGAAGCTGGTCACTAACCACTCAGGAAGCTTTCTTGGGGGGCGGGGGCATGGGGTGGACTGTATGCTTAAGGCATTAGTAACTTGGGACTGAGTGGCTGTTGAATCATCCTCTTTGTTGCATAAATAAGAGCAAATTGGAGGAGCAGGAAATAGTGAAAGAGAACCTCTGCATTTTAACTAGTGATTACCTCACAGATCGGAAAATAGGAAACACTAAAATGCATGCCACCTTTCAATGACAGAGACTCATGAACCTCCGGCATGCTTACGTCTTCTGCAAAACAACACCTATCCAGAAGGATTTCTTCCTAGATCACTGCCTCCCCAGGATTCAGTTACAGCCATTGCACTTACTGAGTTTTCGGAGAGATTTTGTTCTTGATGAAAAGCAGTCTCTGCTAGAGGACTGAATTCAATTCTAACTTGCCAAAGAGATATTAGGCTAGAATCACTCAGGTAATGTTTCTTGCCAGTCTTAATTGTCCAACCAACATTTGCGCGTCCCTGAATGAGTGTCTGCTGACACTCAGAGAAGCCATACATTGAGTGGGACAGTTCACTATGGAGAGGACGCCTGGGGCAAACGCTGACTTTCTTGGACTCAGGTATGCAGGAGGTTTACTAGAGTCGAGTCACCAAGCAGACTGTCAAGTTCCACCATGAGATCTATTTGACACCTGCCCTTGAGAGTGTGCTGTAGGCTTGAACCGACCTAAGGCTTATGGTGTTGTCACCCAGTACAATTAAATATCTCCCTTATAGTAATCTGCTTTTGTCCTTGGTTAAGCAATGACACTAGCACGAACAGATTTGGCCTGTCCTGTCTAAACCAGGGCATACAACTCCCAGTTCTGTGAACTGACCAGGAGGGTGTCAGTCCCTAGGTGCCTTTGACGATAATGACTGTGCCAAAGTTGGTGATAATCTGCTTATATTTGCCCTGGGTTCCTTGACCACTGAGAGCATCTTGCAATGATGTACACGGTCTGGATCTCTGGAGATCTAGTACCTCCAGGCAAAAGCACAGATGCAGCCAGCCCTTGCTCCATGACCAGGATTTCAACGCTGAGTGATAAGTGAAGGTCCGGGGTCCAGAGCAGTCACACTGGGAACACCCCTAGGTTCTCAGTTTGGCTTTTCAACATAGAATTGTCAACAGCTTGGGCCATTGTCCTCAGCACCTTCTTCACTTGAGGAAAATGAATATTAACCAAACATGAGGAATCGCTGAGCTGAGGAAAGAATCAAGTAATGTATAGTCAGTGGGCAGTGGTGATAAGAAGTGTTTAGAACGTTCACAGGTGACTTGTGTTGTGTAAGAGGGAAACATCTCCTGAGGAAACACACACAGACACAGAGCATCAGAATCACACCACTGGGCCCACACATGGGCCCCCAAGCCTGATTCACACAAACCCACAGCATCTAAATGATGTAGTTGCTTCCAGGTACCATAGAATAAAGACATTATTCTATCCTGGGAGATCAGTCTCTTCCATGCACCTCCAGCCCGCACCCCAAGTGGGGATCCAGCATCAGGGCCACTCTCCAACCAGAGCCAGTGAGAAAACCCCAGCTTTATCCGATGGATTGTTCCTCAGCAGAGTGTTGATCCCTGAATATTTACCGTGTTTAATGGCGTCCCAGAATTGCTGTGAGTGGAGAGAAGGAAACAGAGTGAGGTGTTAGCATCTTGAAGCTCCTGCACTATGTTTTCTGTCATGTGGTTTGTCTCCTCAGATAAATAAAAATATAAATATTTATTTATAAATAAATAAAATAAAACTCTTTATTCTAGTGACTCCAAAGTACAATAGAGAGTGTTCTGATGGAAAGTTGGTTTCAGAAAAGAGCTCTCAATTTGAATGTGACCAAGAGTTACAAAAGTATTTTTCAAGGAGGAAAATTTCTACTGAAAAAAATACGTACAGTAGTAACTGATGCTGTCTTTTTTTAATGCCCTTCTGAATCGCATCTGTTTTTAGAAAACATTTTTCTCAATATTTCTCCAGCCAAGGAACTGTATACATTAGTGATAATGTACATTTTCAAATTACTATAACTGCATTCCATTGAATAAAAATTTAAGAAGTGAAGAAGCAGGCTTCTCTGAGATAAAGACAGTTGTGGTTACCTTCGGGATCCTCGGAGACTCTTCCTCATCCCAGGCCCGGTGCACTTCCACCACCACGACCTGCTGGGAAGCTAGAGGGACAAAGAATAGCCATCAGGACTCAGGTGAGGCTGCGCACCAATCTCTCAGTGTTTTTTGTTTGTTTTTGTTTGATGGGGACATCGAGTGCAGTGTATGCCTAAGGAAGGTTAGGATCTATGGGCTGAGTTGCTGTTGAATCATCCTCTTTGCTGAAGGAAAGAGAGCCAAGGAGAGGAACAGGCAAGAAATGAAATGGAGCTTATGTCTTTTATCTAGTGATACTCTAACCCAGGAGGAAAAAAGAAACAGTAAAATGCATGGTAGTTTTCAATGACAGAGGCCTGTGATTCTCCTGCCTATTCAGAGCTTCTGCTAAATCATCCCTCTCTTCTGGGTTTATTCCTAGATCACTGCCTCCCCAGGATTCAGGTTATAGCTATTGTACTTACTAAGTTTTCTATGAGATTTTGTTCTTGATTAAAAGCAAGCTCTGTTAGAGGACTGAATTCAGTTCTACCTTGCCAAATAGCTATTATCAATCCCCAGTCTTTTTCCCAGTCTTCATTTTCCCAAATCTTCATTTTCCAAAAAAATATTTGCATGTCCACAGAGTTAGTGGCTGTTCACACTCACAGAAGTCATACATTTGGTGGGACAGTTTATTGTGAAGTGAAATCATGGGGGAACTTCTCAGACCCAGGTGTGCAGAGACTTACAGCCAGTGTCATGGTCACGAGGCTAACTCCCAAGTCCCACTGTGAACCCATTTGACACCTTCCCTTGAGTGTGTGCTGCCAGGTTTAATCAGTGTAAGTCTTATGGTACTGCCCCCAGTACAGTGAAATATCTCCCTGATGCTCATCTCTTCTTGACCTTGTTTAAGCAATGACAGAGGGACCAACAGATATGGCCTACATTGTCTACACAAGGCCACACAACTCTCCGAATCTGTGAGTTGATCGGGCAGGTCTAAGTCCCGGGGTGCCTTTCACAATGATGACTGTGCCAATGTTGGTGTTAAGCCACCTGTGGTTGTCCTGGGTTCTGTGACCACTAAGCCCATCTGACAATGATGGGCATGGTCTGAACTTCTGGAGCTGCTAGTACCTCCAGGCATGGACGTAGATGCAGGGACAGCATGGCTCCATGAACGAGGACCGCATGGCTGAGTGATAAAATGCAGGTCAGGAGCTCAAAGCTGTCACAGTGGGACTACCCCTAGGGTCTCAGTTTGGCTTTTCAATACTGGAGGTCAAACCTTGGGCCTGTTTTCTCAACACCATCTCCACTGGAGGAAAATAACTATTAACCAAACTTGAGGAATGACTGAGTTGATGAAAGAATCAGGTAATGTATGATCAATGTGCAGTGGTGATGAGAAGTGTTTAGAAAGTTTGCAGTTGACTTATGCTGTGTAAGTGGGAAACATCTCCTGAGGAAACACATGCACACAGAGCTTCAAAATCACACCACGTGGGTCCACATATGGGCCCCAACCCGATTCACACAAACCCTCAGCATCTAAAGGATGTAGTTGTTTCCAGAGACTGTAAAACACAGACATTGTTCTTTCTTAGGAGATCAGTCTCTTCTCTGCACCCCCAGCCCTCAGCCCCTGCAGGAATCCAGCATCAGGGTGACTCTCCAACGAGCTGACAAGAGAGCCCCATCTTCATCAGCTAGATTGTTCCTCAGCAGAGGGATGATCCCTGAATACTTACCGTGTTCACAGACTGCGCTGTATGCCTGCGAGTGAAGAAAACAGTGGGAGTATATCAACATCTTGTGTTCTCTGAACTATGTCTTCGGTTATCTGATTTTTGTCCTCAGATAACTAAAACTATTTAGTCAATGGCCCCATAAGAAAACAGAGAGGTCCCCTGTTGAAAAGGTTAGGCTGCTTCATGTAAGATCTTTCAGTTTAATTTGACCAACAATTACAAAATTATTTTCCAAGAAGGAAAAACTTCTGCCGAACAAAGTACCTGATGCTGTCTGGTGCAGTAACTGATTCTGTCTTTTTTTAATGTCCTTTTGAGTAAGATCTGTGTTGATAATAGATTTATCCTCAATATTTCACCATCCAAAGAATTGCATACATCAGTGATAATGTACATTGTGAAATCACTATAACAATATCCAGCTGAATAAACAATAATGAAGTTAAGCAACAGTCATGTCCCAGATAAAGGTAGGTAAACTTACCTTCAGGGTTTTCAGAGACTGTTCCTCAGCCCAGGCCTGGTGCAGTTCCTCAATCAGGTCCTCCTGGATACCTGGAATGTCACAGAGTAGCTATCAGGACACTGGTGAGCCTGTTCACCAATAACTCAGCATTTTGTTTGCTTGTTTGTTTGTTTAAATGGGGACATGTGGTGCAGTGTATGCATAAGGGAGGCTAGTAACTATGGACTGCGCCACTGCTAAATAATGCTCTTTCCTGGATGGAGGAGAGTAAAAGAGAGGAGCAGGAAAAAAAGAAACAGAGCTTCTGCATTTAACTAGCGATACCCTAACCAAAGGGGATAAAAAAAAAAAAAAACTCACGAAAAAGCATGCCAGCTTTCAATGGCAGAGACCCGTGACCCTCCTGCCTGGTTAGACCTTCTGCTAAATTGCTCCGCTCTTCTGGATTTCTTCCTAGATCACTGCCTCCAGAGGACCCCCAGTTACACAATTGTACTTACCAAGTTTTCTATGAGACTGTTCTTCATTAAGAGCAAACACTGTTAGAGGACTGATTTTAACCCTAACTTTCCTATAGCTATAATCAATCATGTGACACTTTTTTTCAATCTTCATTTTCAAAACAATGTTTGCATGTCCACTGAATCAGTCTCTGTCCACACTCACAGAAAGGATTCGTACATTTTTGGGTCAGTTCATTATGGAGAGAAACCATGAGGTGAATGCTGTCTCTGACCCAGCTGTGCAGGAGATTTATAACAAGAGTCATGGTCACTAGGCTATCAAGTTAGCTATCAAGTTCCACCGTGAGGTCTACTTGGCACCTTCCCTTGAGTGTGTGCTATAGGGTTTAATCAATATAAGGCTTATGGTAACGTCACCCAGTGTAATAAAATATCTCCCTGATGATAATCTGCTTTTGTCCTTGTTTAAGCAATGACAGTAGCACCAGCAGATATGAACTACAGTGTCTGCACAAAGCCACACAACCCTCAGAATCTGAGTTGATCAGGAGGATGTGAGTCCCGAGGTGCCTTTCACACTAATATCTGTGCCAAAGTTGGCGTTAATCCACCTTTGCTTGCCCTGGGTTCCATGACCACTAAGCCCACCTTATAATGATGGATGGGCATGGTCTGGAACTCCAAAGGTGCTAGTATGTCCAGGCATAAACAAAGATGCATGGAACCCCCTTGCTCCATGACTAGGATTTCCAGACTGAGTGATAAGTGCAGGTCAGGGATCCAGAGCCATAACACTGGGACCACCCCTAGGTTCTCAGTTTGGCTTTTCCACTTACAAGGTCAAGAGCTTGGGCCATTTTTCTCAGCACCACCTCCATTTGGGGAGAATGAATATTAACCCAACCTGAGGAATGGCTGAGTTGAGGAAAGAATCAGGTAATATATAGCCAGTGTGCAGTGGTGATGACAAGTGTTTAGAAAGCTCACAGTTGACTTGCGCTGTGTAAGAGGGAAACCTCTGAGGAAACACACAATACACACAGAGAGCTTCAGAATCACAACACATGGGCCCACATGTGGGACCTGATTCACACAAACCCCCAGCATCTAAATGATGTAGTTTGTTCCAGGGACCATAGAACACAGGCATCCTGGGAGATCAGTCACTTCTCTGCACCCCCAGCCCTCACCCCTATAAGAATCCAGCATCAGGGGGCCTCTCAAACCAGAGCCAGAGAGAGAA